ACTGAAATAGCTGTGACATACTAATCAGAGTTAAAATTTTAGTGATCAATAGTCGTAGTAGATTTGGGATGTTAAATGCTGCTTCGGACTAAATTAATTCCTCACAGAATTTGACATGCTCTCTTTCTTACAGGTGTGCAATCACCCGGAGCTATTTGAGCGACAAGAAACTTGGTCTCCGTTTCACATCTCCCTAAAGCCATACCAGATTTCCAAGTTCATCTACCGTCATGGACAGATCAGGGTCTTTAACCACTCACGGGACAGGCAAGCTGCTCTGCTTCCTCTCCAACTTAGCATGTTTAGTATTGTTACTTAGGCTTGTTTTAGCTTTGTATGTGCTAATAAACTCCCGTACCTGAAGTTCTTAAATTACATGGCCAAGCGATGCATTCCTAGTTTTCTTTCATTCATTCAGCTGTTAAGCATCTGATATCTGATGCTCTTTCTTGGTGGAATCTTGATCATCAAATATCCCTTTCACTGAATGAGACAGTCAGGAAAAGGAATTTATAGAGTTATTGCTGAGGATGTGTAATAGAATTAAGCTTTAAAAGAATTCTTAAAAAAAAAAAAAACAAAAAAACCAAAACAACCCAAAAACCCACACACCAAAAAAACTCCAGGTTCCCTTCAGTTAGTTTTCATGTTTGAGGAAGCTATCAGTATCTGTCTGTTGTGACATGGTGTACAGTGAGCATCTACTAGTGCCTTGACAGCTTTTAATGCTTACCTTGGATGAAGAGCAGCTGCTCGAGTGCTGTTTTCTCTGACTGTGGCAATTGTTGATTAATTTGGTTTGCATTGAATTAGGAGAAATGCTCAGGGCAGAGATGAGAAAGCAGTGTTTGAAGATGAGACTACTGATCTACAGCGTAAAATGCAATTCCAGAACAATGGTGTGTCTCAGCGTCAAAATAACAGTAGTGCATCTGGACTGAGGGTGCTTTTATCTTACTGCCATGCAGTTCCAGGTACCAGAGTGCTGAAGTACTTACAATGAAGAACTGGATGGTTACTCTGCATTTTCTGCTGATTGTATGATTGAACATTATATGTGTTAATACCTTCTTAGTGATTTTGTTTGGTTTTGTTGCTTTCATTTTCAGGTGGTTACGGGTTTTACTTTCGCCATTTGCACCAGACCACATCCAGCAGTCTCTTTTCCATAGGAAGGGTAGGTTTACAGTCCTAGGAATCACTTGCATGGGATATTGTAATATGTCTTATTCAGGGGGAAGGACTGAGAGGCCAAATCGATTAGTCCTCTAAGATAACCTGATTAGAACTTGTTAGAATTCTGTTAGCATTTGTACTTGTACGTATATTTCATCTGCTCAGTGAGGAAAGGATGGAAGGAGCTGGAAGAATAATCTATGGACAACTTGTTATTTAGTCATTGCTTAATCCTACTACAGTCTCTTGTTCCATTCCTCCTGTCTTGTTTCAACTTACGCCAAGGGAGTAATGCTGCCTTTTTAGACTAATGTGAATTTTTCATATTCAATTCAGAGAAATCTCAGATTTATTTCAGTATGTTCTGTATTGTATGTTAAACTGCCAGCTTCTCTTTTAAGTAGAAAGTAGATGAGATGCAAGTGACCCAGGATCTCATCCATGAGCAAAAAACCCACATTAAGCTGCTTATATTGACAAATACAATTTATTATTATAGATGATGGATTTTTTTTGCTAAAGAGAGATAACTGGTTTGCTAACTAGATTGTGGGAAAACTTTTGGGAGAAAAAGGCGAGAGAGTTACTGGCTGCATTACTGTGCTGCAATCTGTGAGCATGGACCTATTCAGCTATGCAAAACCCTTTTCAGTTAAGAAGAACCAGATGCTGCTGCAGGGTTGGCACTTGTCTGTAACTCAATTTCCATTTGTCTTGCTGATTATTTTGATCTCTATTTGTTTTGGTATTCATAATAGGCTTTTTCTTGGGCATCCTTTTTGGCATACTATAAAAGGAAAATAATTTTGAGAATATAATTTTTGTGTAGAAGTTAAAAAATAAAAATATATAATGATATTTGGGATATGCAGTGCACATGGGTGGGCCTGTTGTGTGTTGGAGAATGTGTACCTTATATTGAAGTAAATTGATTGTTTTCAGCTGTGAGTGTCTGAAATGTCTTGGCCTAACTTCAGTATTTCTGTGAAACAGGCATCAATGAAGAAAGCTGTTTTTCATTCCTCCGGTTTATTGATGTCTCTCCAGCGGAAATGGCAAACCTCATGATTCAGGGACATTTAGCCAGGTGAGGACAACTTTTTTTTTCTCTTTTACTAGTTATAGGGAAAGTACAGGTGATGCTGGAGGCAGCTCTCTAAACCCGCATTTCCTATGTGTGGTCTTGTCTGTCATTATCTGATATCATAGCAACTTCTAGAGTGTTCTTGCAGGTAATAGGGCACCATTATGCAAGGCAATTTCTATGTCTCTGTCAAAAGAAAACCTCTCTTACAAAGATTTGACATTGTAAATACACAAGGCAGTCAAAAGGCCACAGAAGAGTTTGCTTAGGATCACACTGTAGGTTGCTGGCATTATCAAGCGCAAAACCCAGACTTTTGAAGGCAAATTTATTGCAATACTTAGCAATATTGCACTTGAGTGTATGTGTTAACACACGTGGAATAAGCTTGTGCTGTGATAGTTGTTCTTCAGCTCTGAGCCTGTTGTTTTTAATATGGAATTGAATTCCAAGGTGTAGGCTTAGGATAATGGATTTTTAGTGTCACGAGCTGTATTATCTTGGAAAGGGAGGTGATCTGTTTAAGTTATGGTGTACTCTGCAACAGTACTCTGACTGAAGTTAGTGACTGTAAGAAATTTGAGATTAAAAGCAAGTCTTTATTAATAAATAAAGGTGTTTTGCTTAGGGCTTTGTCATATTCCTTTATTGTGGTGGTTGTTTTGGACTACTGTTTCTTGGCTGTGTTTCAGTAACGTAATACAAATTTCTCTTGATCTGTCTGAATGATATTTGTGATAAATTCTGCATTTGTTATGCAGGTTATTACAAATAATTTATATACAGAGTAATTTACAGATAAGTCAGGGTGTAATTTTAAGTAGTGGTGGCTAACTCAGGCTCAACCCTTTTAAACAAAGTGCTTCAGAGTGTATTCTGATTTAGTTACTTAGATTTGGTTAAGAAACCTTAGAAAAGCTGAAAATAAGAGTAATATAATTGGAAGATGTCTAGCAAAAAGTAATTCCTTTGTCAGGACACCGTAAGCCTGAAATTCTGAAAAAAACCCCCGCATTTGTGTCAAATAGTGTTATGTTGTAAATGTACTCAAGCCTTTGTTTCACAAAGCAGTCAATAAATGTATCTACTGTGTTTTGTTTCAGATGGTTAGCTCTTTTCCTGTCTCTGAAAGCATCCTACAGGCTCCATCACATGCGCTCCTGGATGGAGACAGAAGGGGAGAAACAGCAGGGGTCATGTTTTCTGAGGAACAGGGATTTGTTGCTTGATGTGAATTTCCCGCTGTCTTTCCGCACAGCTGCACTTTGCTGCAGGTAAGCAAAATTTCTGTGATGTGGAGACAGTAGCAAATCCTCATGAGTGAGAAATGCTGAAAACCTTTCAATCCTTATAAAACAGAGGAAACAAACTTGGAAACAGGATGGCTTTAACTGCTTTATTAGATACAGTTAATAAAGTTCAGAGTGCTGAACCAAAAAACAGTTTAACTGCTGTCTTCCTCCCATGTGGTGATATATTTCAAAACTTGCTATAAAAAAAATTAATCAGTTGAATTAGAGATTTTAAATATTACTGGAGCAACAGAATGAGACTCATGATTTGTCAGGGATGGATTCTACATGTATGCTTGAGAGTTTTGTAATGTTTTTCTATATGCAAGATGCTTATTTTCTGACTGAAACTCTTCTCAAATTCGATACATTGTTGCAGCAACTGGGGAAAGTAGAGACTTTCAGTCCAGCAGTGTTTCAGAGTTGGTGGACAATTGTTGTCAATGGTGTCTTTTCTACTCTGAAAGTTGTTTCTGCTGCTGTCTCGTAGATTCCAAATGTATTCATCTTACTGTGTAATGCAAGGTAATTTTCTCTAATCTCTTGCCTGGGATGTGTGTGAAGGTTTTGCCTTTCTGTGATTAAATTGCTGTTTGTTTCCTGAGTTAAGTTGTAGCTCCATTGGTTCCTTTCACTGGGAAGTAAGTTCACAAAAGTGCTAGCATAGAGTCAGGAAAGCATCTAGGGCAGTTAGCAGATATGCAGTAAAAAAAATCTTTTCTGAAACAGTGAGATCGTGCCAAATTTCTCTAGGGAATATTGCTTCTGTTCATGAGTCTGGAAGGGAAAAGGAGATAGCCAGAATTCAATTGAATAGCGTGTAGAGGAAGTTGAAATTGAAGACGCATAAGCAGTAGGAAACCCAACTTTGGACTTGGTGTCATGTTTTGCAGTGTTAACAGCAAAGCAAATAAAATGAGTCGTCTTAGTTATCAAACAAAGAGCAAGCCAACTGAGTGTGTATGCCAGTTAACTCTGGCTGTGCTGGTGTTTATGTATTCTGTGTTTCTATGTCTAGCTTGATAAAATGCCATATTATATGGATTTGCTTTCAGGTTTTTTGAGATTAAATTCAGCTGCTTGTATACTGACTGTGTAGTGCTTATCTCTGGAGCTATACTGTGGAGCTATACTGTGGCTCTGTCTTCTCATTGGTATGGTTAAGGAAAACTTGTGTGGTGTCATAAATGTTGCAGCCTAACAGTAAAGGCGTAGAAGATGGTATCAGAAGTTGTATGCAGTTACAGAAGGTAGCATTTATTTCTACATGTGTAGAAAGACAGTCTAGATCTTTACATAGCCTTTGAGTTAGTGTGTATAAATATTAACATGGAAGTAATTGTATTTTCTTAAAGAGTAGAAGGTGAGTAAACATAGCTATTGACTATGAGATGTGGAATATGCACACGTAGGTTTTATTATTAACAATGAAATGTAAAGCATTTAGATAAGTTACAGACCCACCTGTACCACAACCTGGCAGCACTTAAACATATAATTTCATTTCTCAAAATAATTTCTGTTCTTTGAGGAAGTCATTACTTGTGTCTCAGGGGGTCCTAGTGCTGTGGCTGTGTGTAACTAGTGACTGGTGTAACTAAGTACCTTTTACATAGAAAACAGCCAGCTGAGGAGCAAAGTTCATCAGTGTGTGCAATACAGCACATTTATAATAACCTCAGTAAATCAGGAAGTTTAAAGGAAGTTTAGCCCTAAAGATACAATAGATTCTTTAAAACTGTTTTCTGACCTGCATGTTAGACAAATTACCACCTGAAGTCACTTTAAAGTAAGCTATGTTTGCAGAATTTTGTTTGCACAGCTTACGTGAAGAACATTTAAAAAAAAAAAAGGCACAAAACCAAAGGGAGAGTTGAAAAACAAACTGCCTTTTACGTGCCTGTCTTCTAGCAGCACACATCATTGTGAGTGAAAATGAACTCACTTTTTTTTATCTTAGCCCAAGTTTGAGAAACTTTAAATGTAAAATGCCCTGAGGCTTCCTCTGGGCCTTCATAAGATTGTAACATGTAGGGAGTGAGGAGGGAGAGAAACAGAGGAAAAAGGAAATGCTATAAATCTGGAAAGGCTTTTCTTAACTGCTCAGATCAGCATTTCCAGTATGAAACAAACTATGAAAATAAGTCAGTAGACAAAAAAAACACATTTATTTTTAACGGATCTTTCTGAAATTGAGGTAACATCTGTCTAAAGATAGTATGAGTTTCTTCACGTAAAAACAGAAATCCCTTGCAGTGTGAGGTCTCTTCGTTCCTCTTACTCAGCACCTCCACAACATGTGTATTAATTTGTATACATGGATTTAAATTCATATAAAATGTGATCTGTTGAGATGAACCTTCTGTCCTTCCTAATTTTCTTTCTATTAAAAAAATAGGAGTGTTAATAAGCTTAAGATATGCTGGTAGTAATCACCCATATTTATGTGCAGCTCTGTTTGCAATATAGGAAAGCCTTTTTCAACACTTACTTTGGATGGTGTGGTTTAGTAGATGTGTACATTCTTATTTTTTAACAATCCTCCTAATCGGTTCTTGGCTTTGTCATACTAAGGTATAAGATCCATGTGGCTGTGTTCAGTTCTGTAACCTTACCCGGTCTTTTCCATGTATTTGACTGATGGGAAGCTTGTTTCCACTGTCCCTGTTATATCTGATGTCTTCTCTGTTCATGAATGCTTAACGACTGCGTATATCAGGGATGTTTCTTATGTGACTTGCTCATAATTTGTACACAGGAAGCAAGGCACTAAAAAACCATATTAATGCCCATGTACAAGACCTAATACTGTGTGTATACAAAAATAATATTTTCCTCTTGTTTTGGGTACCTTCTTGGAAATTCCTTTATGTTTCTTCCTGGATACTTCTAATCGGGCTAAAGCCATCTTCAATGGCTCTTTGATAATGTCTTCCAAAAGAGAATTAAGTAACAAACTTGCATATGTTTGGAATTACAGTTTGTTAGCTTCCTCTCTATCCAGTTCTTGTATTCTCGCTTTCCAGGAAATAAAGTTACCCAACCCCTCTAATGACCAGGGCCACAACAGGTATGCCAGCGCTTGCTGTCGTAAGACTCAGTGGAAAGCTCTTGTGACTGCATGCAATGCTGATGCCTCTTTGTAAAATCAGCTGTACGCCCAGTGTGTGTGCCAGGGGGGTGGAAGAGAGGGGCTTCGAGGTAAAGCAGATGTTCCAAGTCCATCCAGTAGCCTGCTGTTGCTGAGAGGGAAGTCGGTCTTCCCCTCTGACTCTTGATGTCCTTTCTTTACTCCCAGCCACTGAATCCTGCCTCTGCTGATGTGGGCTTGCACTGTCACATCCCTGTATGAAACAACTGCAGAAAACTTTCTGTTTTCATGGCTGTTGAATTTGTTCTTTGACTAGATATGTAGCTAAGTAGGCTTCTGGAGGGGTGTGACAGCTGCTAAAATAGCACAAGAAATGGCACAAATATGTCATGGGAAGGGACTCCCATTTTCAGCAGCTGTGCTGGTGCTTTGTTGCCACCATTCCTGGCCCTTAGATGAGTAAGCCGGTGTTCACATCTGTTGTCTGCAGACATATACAACCAGCCTTGCGTTTCCCACTCTGCTGTTTCAGCACACAGCCTGTTTTACCAGGTGGTGAAACAGATCACAAAACTAACTTGGAATGGAGGGGCAAGGGTTTGTTTTCATTTTGATCAGCGTCTTAACGAGTGCAGACAACTAGGCCAACAAGAAAGGGCTCCACGGGGACAGGAGAGAACATGTGAAGTGATTGTTGCTTAAGCCAGCATTACTGATAAAGAATTGCCAGCTGAGTAAAAGCCTGGTTTGGGAATCACTTCACATTATCCAGTGTGGCCCAAGCTTTGACCTGTATTTTTTAGCCTTGCTAAGTGTCGATGAAAGGTTACTCTCTGCTTTTTCTGCTCTCACCTTTTATATAAAGGAGCAGATGATTAGACAGAGAGTATGGACTTTTTTTTTGCCATTTCCAGACCACGAATCACACTGGTAGCAGCTGAAAGACCCATTTACATGGTAGGATTGACTGACTGTATTTCTTAGGGGGTGCTAGCACTTATGTACAGTAAGACTATTTTTCTTCCTTGTCAGTGGGTTCCAAATTATTTGTGCTAGCCATCTGCATCTTGCCCAGTGCATCTACATCTGGAAATAGAAAGGGCCCAGAATGCATGATCCATAATAGACTACTGCTGTGGATGTTTTTCTAGCGTATTTTGACATACATAGAAATGCGCATATGCAGTGTACGACATGGTAAACAAGGTGTCTGCTTCTGTCATGTACCCTGATGTTTAGAACTTCAAACACTGCGATTTTAAAAAATTGGGAGGCTCTATAAAGAAAAAGTAGCATGCAGTTAATTTTGGTGCATTAGGACCTGGGGCCAATGCCAAAGTTTTAGATACTGTTTACATTTTACAGAAGTGAACTGCTAGAGTAGTCAGGAGGGCACATCCTGTAGTCTCATGGCAAAGAGGTATACCTTTTCGTATTTCTAAAATTGTTGCTGATTTCCTACAGTGTGCAGAATAATGCTATGCATACTATGGGAGACAGTTATACATAACAGTAATGATCAGTTGCTATGAATATAGAAGAGTCAGAATAAAAACTAAGTAGCAAAAATGGCTTAGTCTATAAGCAGTTTATTTCGTTGTTTGATGCAGATATTTAAACCAAAAAGGAAATATAACTGATATAAGCGAAGAAAAATTAGTTTTCTATCATTTTTCTTTGTAGAGTTGAGCATCTTCAAAGAACTCTCTGTTCTTTAAACTGCAGTGTCATCTCAGTGCCCCCACTTTTGAGTTAATATATTTTTCTGATCAAAAGGACATTGATACACTTGTGCCAAGTTCCAGGTTTTACACATGGGAGTGTGTGTGTAACCAAGCTAGCACCTTGAAAGTCTTCAGGATAAAATTCGGAGCCATTTTGCACAGGAAAAGACAAAAAGGTTGGAAAAGGTGAAAGTCCAAAGATACCAATCCAGTCTCATTTAGAGTTTTAAATATTTTTTTCTGCCAAATATCATTTTGCCTATACTTCAGAATACATAAAGGAGAGGCTAGAAAACATCTTGAGGGTCAGACCTGCTAGAATATTCCTGTATTTCCTTCATTATAAAAGCTACAGTCAAAAAGTTCAAAGAAGGAAAAACTTGTTTCTGGTTCCAACTGGGCATAAAGGCAAGTATTGATCTAGCTATTCTGGTTTCACCCATTTCAGGATTTGAGTGTTCTGATAATTACACAGAGATCCTGTATGTTGTCACTGCAGAAGATGAGTAGAGTTTCCTTTTTCAAAGAGAAACTGTTGGTGAATGCCCTTTGTTTTTCTTATGGGCGGTTACAAGATTTAAGAGGAGTTTTTCTTTGTAGACATAGTAACTTTTTAATTTTAATTTTGTTTTCAGAACCTTGTCTTCAGTAGCCCCTGTAAAGCAGTGACTGGCTATTCAGATCATGTCATACATCGAAGGAGATCAGCTACCTCATGTGTACGGTGCTGTCAGGTGACTGAGCTGCCGTCCTTCCTGTGCATAGCCAGTCCACGGGTAAGTCCAAGTTAAGTTGTAAATTATGTATTTTCTATTGTGTTTTAAATCTTGTTAGAATTGTGCCTTAGGAACAGGATGATCTATTAGTTTCTTTTGGTTGGGTAAGACTTTTGTGAGGATATCCTTTTGCTACTGTATTCAATAGTGGGTTTTTTCATAGGGGAAGTGACTGTAATGTGTACTGAAGGGAAAAGAAAAACTTTAATATGCACCCAACAGGAGTTATGCTGAGATACATAGATTTTACTTTCTATCCTAATACCAAAAGCAGTAAAATTATGGAAGAGATTGGCAGGTTGATTATTCCCCAGTAATCTAAGGGGAGATGATATGGTATGATATGAACAGAATGGGTTGATTGTTTGGTCAACTCTGATGACAAAAGCAGGCTGAGGAGCAATGTGTTTTTGAAAAGGATCTTCATTTTCTCTCATTCTGTCAGCTTATGCTTCAAAAAGGAAACGCTAAATTGCAATATATAAGGATTATATGAGTTGGCATTTTCTAAATCTTTTGGATTAAGTGGTACTGCTTGAGATTGTCCATCAACTATTAACTGAATTTTGAAATTACTTCAGCTGAAGTTTCCTGGGCAGACACAAGAGACCTTCCTAAGTCTATGGCTATTGTTTTCATTCCATGTTGTTGGATCTTGACAAAGCTGGACAAAATGTACTTATCTTAGCAGGCTACCCAGATGCTATATTCTTTAATTACTGTTGATATAATTGCTGTAGGCTTGATCAAGTGGGGCTGCATGTGCGATTACGCATTGGCATCTGGAGAAGGGAGTATGGCAAGTAAAACTCTGCTTATCGCCTACATGCTCCTGTAGCTCAGTTCATCTGTGCCTGCAGGTCTGGGGCCCAGGAATCGAACTGAATTCTCAAGTCACGTATCGCTTCCCAGTCACAGCATATTACCTGGTTCAAGAACAAGCAGTTATTCTGAGAGTAAATTGTGAAAACCACTTCTTCAGATTGCTCTGATCTCTTGCCCTTTGTACTGAAATTTGCATTGCAGATGATGATGTTGAATACTTCCTATACATTAGGAAGAGAGGAGAGGGGTTCAGAAGACTAGATAGGAAGGTAAAGACGAGGAGAGATCATACCTAAATATATTCTAGTGAATACAAGTTGCTTGTTTTGGCTTGGGTGGTGTATAAAAATGATTAAGTGGAGGCATGGCTTTTTGTGTCTAGGAATACAAAGACTTAATTTTACACTTGTTAGAAACTTTTGGCAGGAGTGTAGAAGACCTGAAACAGCAGAAAGAGCACATATGTTCTGAGAAAAAATAGCCTTCTGTTGTTGTTTGACCTGCGATGAATTTGGGGAAGTTAATGGAGCGAATAATAGAAATAGGAGTGTATGTTTATGTAGCAGCTGGCAGGGGTGGGGGTAGTGGTGAGGGGGGACACTTTAGTGTTGTAGTTTTCTTTCTATGCAGGCAATTTTCCTGAGTGCAGACAGGCCTCAATCACAAAAAAAAGTAACTTGGAGGATGGATCTTGTATTCTTGTATTCATTAAATTGTTGATTAATTTGATTTAGAGAAATGTTGTTTGTTTTAGTTTAGCAGCTCAGTAGATCCCAGTGTGCCAGAGGTATTGTGGTCAGAAGTGGTTTTGGGCATCTCACTATGTCTGAAAGGTCAACTTTGTGTGGAGATAAATGCAGGAAGCATTTTACGATTACCCTAAGTTGGTGAATTTAAGGTGGCAATGCAGTCATGTATCCCTGTCACTGTATTTTTTTTTTTTTTAATGTATTTCTGAAACAAGACTGTTACATTCAGTCAGTTTGACAAGAACATTTTGACATAGGAAGGTTTAGTACTAAGGGTACACTACCTTTTGTTATGAGTAAGACCACAAAAAAAAGCCTGGGAAAAGAAAAACTTGAACTGTGCCATGACAAAAAGGAGAGAGGAGAAGCATGAACAAGCTTGAACGGAAGATTTTTTTGATCTGTTTCAGAAATGTGTTGGATTTTCTTGTAAGGCCATTTAAAAAAGACAGAGCTGTACCCTAGAAGTGTGTGTATGCATTTAAAAAAGTGTGGACCTGACAGAAAAGATAGTCCTCAGATGTCCAGTGCTACACAGGCATACTTCCTACATGGGAAGATTTGTTCTTGTAAATATAGAAGTTGCACTGAGGCGCACACAGAGTTTGTCTCAATATTGTCTCCTACTAGCTCTTCCTTTAGCTGAAGTACTATTGAAATGTAGCTTATAGAATTTTATGATGTGATTTTATTTTTCTTTTTAAAAACCTAGTGTGCGAATCTCTGTATTGATTTCAGTAGATAAACCAGATTTCTGTGTTAGAAAACAGTCTGCTCTGTTTTGTGTGTAGTGGCTGCTGGTCCTAGGTGTCCTGTAAATAAATCTGACAGGTGGTCTGTGCCTGGAAGAGTATTTGTTCCAGTCTATCCAGTGTAGAAATACGAACTGAAATGTGACGATTAATAGTGTTCTTTAAAAGAAACAACCTAAGTCGGTACCGTCGTTGTGGTCTACATCACTCTTCAGGGAACAAGACATGAATTGTGAGAGGTTTTTGCCCTCTCCTGCAAAAGACAGTCCCATGCTTTGACTGCAGATGGCAGCACGAGATAGCATCAACTCTTAACAGTGTCTAGTAGCAGGAAAATACAAAGTCTTATTTAACACAGTCCCTTTCAATTTGCAGTGTTTCATATGACTGTGTGCATAGACTTACAAGCCAATCCGGTTTAAAAATTATAGAACGGTTTGGGTTGGAAGAGACTTTAAAGCTCATCCAGTTCCAGCCCCCCTACCAGGAAGGGACACCTTCCACTGGACCAGGTTGCTCAAAGCCCTATCCAACCTGGCCTTGAACACTGCCAGGGAGGGGGCAGCCACAGCTTCTCTGGGCAGCCTCTTCCAGTGTCCCACCAAATAGCTCTTGGCATCTTGCAAAACAATAGCTTTACCATTATTGCTACAATTTTGTATGCTTTTTGATTGTGCTTATGAATCTGTTTAAGTGCTTGATTTGCCCTTGCCACAATAAGTCTCTGTGAGATTAATTTCTGCTATTGGAAGAGAGCTCCTGTAGAACAGGAGGGGCCACAGGCTTCCACTGAGAAGATCTTGCTTGATACCTTTCACTTTGAGTTAGCTGGTAAATGTTCAGAGAGCAGCAGCCAACATCTAAGATAGCAGGCAGTCTGTCCAGAGGTGTGGGTTGATCCCTTCATCTTAACAGTTTTAGAGTACAGTATTTAAAACTGTTGATATTTAAGCTATTTTATTGCTTATCATTTAGTTAAGCCATTAAAATATTTTCGTTTGCATGGTATGATGTTGTATATGTTATTCTCAGTATCTAGCAGTAAATTGTGTCATGCCAGAGTAACCTGTACCAAACAATTCATTATCCTTCAAATTCATAAAGCTTATTGGCTGCGGTACAGAGGTAGTTCTTCATTGCATTTAATGTTTCAATTGTCCAGTTATCAAACCAATTCCAGCCTTTCTTGATTCTCCAGAAACTCAGCTACTTAATGTTTACCATCAAACCCTGCAGACTCCCGTGCTGTTTCTTCCTATGCAGCTGTCTCCTTTAAAACGTGAAAACTTTCACAAGTTTGATTTCCTTTGTGTTCCTTTTCATTTGTTATTTTGCTTTTCATAGCCCCCTAGGTAATGTGTTCATTTTGCCGTATTAGGATTCATGATAATGTTTTTAACTTACATGAGTCTACGTGGATGATTTTTTTTTTTTAATTGTGCTTTTGAAATAAAACCAATGATGACTGCTAAAGTAGTGATTTATTTGCTTCCTATATTGGTGAAGAAACCAACAAAGCATTGCAAATTTATGACTTTTCTCTGTTTTAAGCCCATGCTGTAAGGTTATTTGATTATACTAGGTTTTATTTTCATTTTTGAGTGAGTTACAATGTGTTATTAAGTCTCTTGATAGTATGTGAAAGTTTCTACTAGCTTTCTTTTGTAGATTAGGTTATAAATAGATTTTGTAAATGCTTACCCCAGAACCTTGGCCCAAAACAGACCTGTATTCAGAAAAGACAGGAGGAAGTAGTTGGTGGTCTGCATTTTTGTTGGAAAGATTCTTGTGCTAGATAGTGAATTGTTGTGTATTTGAGTTAAAGCGTTGTAATTGTTGTATTTGCTTTGGATCATGCGATTTAACTCTTGGTGAAGTACCTGAAGAAAAACCCAGCAGAGTAGGCTGTCCTGGTATGTACCATGGCTCAGTTATGCTTTGGGATTTTATTACTTTGGTATCTTGAAGTTGTCCCTTACCCTAGTAAGGGAGATATAAGAGAAAGCTATATATTGTACAAAGGACAGGCTTGTCTGCTGGAGGACCTTACAGCCAGTGGGCATACAGCTGTCCAGCTAACATGTACCTTCCACACGCCATCCAGATTTGGGTAGGTGGGGCAGAGCAGGGGGAGTTAAAGTGATGGAGCCATTCCAGAATAGCTCACATAATGCGAAATCAGAGTTCCTGTGTTTGCAACACTGGTCTGTCCAGCTGGGTTGTATGTACTGAAGCAGGTAGTAAGGCAAGGGATTCATGGAACGGCCAGAAGAAGGTCACCCTGTGCTCACTTGCACTGTTTCTGTCGCCCACTTGTGTTCAGATCAGCTGTCAAGCCCAAGAAATGTGCTGTTCCAAAATGGGGCTGTCTTCCTGTTGATTTTTTTCCTTTCTAACTTGTGTATCTTCCTGATTTTAAATTACCACATTAATTTCTGTTAAGGACGATATGTAAATCTCATCTGTGCTAGGTAGATACTTGACTGTGAAGGGCAAACTAAAAAATAAAGAAATCTAGGCAAAATGAGTGGTGCAGCAAGGATATTATTCTCTTTGCTATCAGTTGTGTAGCATTTGGCCCAAGGCATTGTTTATCTATCAAAAGGCAAGTAGTCTGTGCTTGGTCATTCATAGGACTGTTTTTTGTGGTGTGGGGAGATGTTGCATCTTTGCTTATTTTAAGCCAGTTTAAGATGATTTTGCATTTGTACATGTCAGTAATTATTTGACTTTTAAAATTTGATCCAGTGGGAAGGTGCCTGAACTGGGAATTTGGGGATGAGGGGAAATCTGAACAAGACTATTGATTATTATTTTACTTGTAGGTAACAGCTGTGCCACTGGAGTTCTACTGCAATGACCGAAGTGCAGAATATGAGCGCAGAGCACTAAAGGAAGGAGGAAGTCTTGAAGCAAAGCAGTGTGTACTCAATGGAGCCCCTGAGCTAGCAGCTGAGTGGCTGAGGCAGTGCTCCCGGTTCTTCCCAGAGTATCCAGGAGGGCTATTAGGGATCAGACCTCAGAACGGCTGGTCTTTTATCAGGATACCAGGTAAGTTTGGAGGTTGTCATGGGAGCAGAGATGAGATAAATATGAACATCTGCTCTTTGGTGGTAATATGCTTGGTTATGGGCTTTTTGAGTGGTGGTGGGGTGTGGTTGTGTGTTTGTTTTTCCTCCTGAGTGAAAGTTAACCCTAGTATCTTAAAATACACTGTGATTTCATATCCTCTGTGTGGAGTAAAGCTGTCAATGGATACTGAACAAGTCTAATACAACTTTTCTGATGCTTACAAACCTCTCTTAGCATGTCAGCTCTGCAAATGACTGTAAAGAGATGGATTTACTTACTAAAGCACAGTCTGCTCTCACAACCAAATACTATTTTGAGGTTGAAGACAGAAAATTGCAGGAAAAGTAACAGCTATACCTTGCCTCCTAGTGTATTGGAAGACCTTCGTATTGATCTGTGAGATCTTTTGTTGGCCTTCCTAGTGAAGGGACAAACGTTATTTGTACCAGTTTGCCATGAGAAGGATGGGTTTGGGGAGCAAGTTCAGAGGAAATTGGCCTGGAAGACAAGGCATGAGGGATTTACTGAGTTTCAGCTGGAATAAGACTTAATTCATATTTCCTGGTAAAGTGGGGAAAAAGTTACCAATGTACTAGTAAAGTAAATGCACTTCATTTTTTCCTAAAATTAAAGTAATCCAAGATTTGCTAGAATTTGATTGCCAGTACTGCAGTGACTTTCATGGGCTGGACACACTAGCTATCGGAAGATGGTCCTGAGCAGTGAGCAGGGTTCTGCAGAAAGTACTAGAGATCTGAGAGATAGCCAAGAGGAAAAACAGCTTACACTGCCAGATGCTAAGTTATTCCCAGACCCTTTTGGGTCAAGGATGTTTGGCAGGGGAAGTTAGTGCAGTAAAAGGAAGATGGCCTTTTGCTTGCTGTAGTCCGGTTTAAGAAGGTACCTCATAAGTACTTGGAGTCATTTGAAGCACATGCATGTTTGTGTCTATGTAATGGAGAAACCATTTTTTGTGAGCTTGCCCTAGATTAATGTTCAATGACAGTTCATGATTTTGTAGTTTCTTCAGGAATTCATTGAGTTGTTTATCAATTATTTGGAAACAGCAAATGAATTGCAGTAGCAGAAAGGAGGAAAATAGTAAAGGGATTAATTAAGGTAGAAGGCATAGATAGAGAAAGGAAGAAAAGTAGCTGGTGTAGAATGGAGAGAGGGCTGCATTCTCTCGAAAAGACTTCCATTTTAAGCTGATTACTTCGTCATCAGCAAAAATTTGTAGAGGAATAAAGATGAGGTACAGGAAGCTTACAGAAGTGAGTGAATAGGTGCAAGGTTAGGCAAATGTTTGTCAAAGCACAACAAAGAATTTGGTTGGGATAAGTGTGTTATGTAAAGCTGGCTTAATTAGGAGGAGGTGTTGGAGCTAAAAGTGGATTTAAAAAAAAGTAGTTTTGTACAGCTGTGTTTTACTTAGGTGGAAAGTAGCATTCAAACCTAAACTTAGTCAAAGAGGAGAGGACACATACCACAACAGGACAGCTGTGTTTGTACATACAGGAGCAGGCACAGTGCATTACAGAAAGTGACTGATGTGCTGAAGGAGCCATTTACAAGGCTCCGGTCTAGCAAGTGTCAAATGGAATCGTAGGTGTGAAGGTCTGCGGTAAATAGGTGCCAAGAAGAAAAGAGGATACGTACTCTCCTAACCCTGATCTATCCTCTCCCAGACTCAGCGTTCCCAGTACCCTGGCAGCAGGCTCAGCTGCGATCACTGTGGGAATCTCTTGAGGCTTTTCCTGTTCTTTGAAAGAAAAATGGTCCTGGATTAAATGGCAGGAAGTGTCTGAGTCCTTTTAGCATCGATAAAAAGCACCGGCCTTACTGGCTGTTTACTGTGAGAGCCAGCTAGCTCCTCATTGACCCCATTGTGCTGTGCAGACTGTCGGGAGGGGAACCAGGGGTGTCAACTGGAACCCAGACTTTATCTCTCTTTCCTCTGCTTTTTGCATGTCCAGAGGCACTTTTTCTCATTCTCCAGAGAGCAGTGAGCCCAGCTACACTCATCGGCCAGAGCCTCCTGACAAGGGTTATTTTGAGTCACAGTCATTTGTAACTGTTCTTCCCAGGCCATAGGATCCCACTGTATCCCCTTGTAGATAACTTGTGTGCATATCCCTTCGTGGCCGGAGGCAGGGACTCTCTTTCTTTCTTTCTTTCTTTCTTTTTTTTTTTCTTTTTTTTTTTTTTTTTCCCAGACTGAAAGCCATATAATATGATTTGACCATTACTTTCTTTTTGATCTAGTTCTCTTACCTATTTTATACAGTGCTGAAGAACCCAAAAATTCTGTCCTAGGGAAAGTTCTTTGATGTGCAGTCCAGGACGTCTATCTCCTGACCTGCTTAAAACTTTAAAAGTTCATTTGATGCTATTAAAAAAAA